TGCTTTATATTTCACAATGTTTTTTTCCAATAAGTAGTCTGCAGCTGTGAAAACATCAGTAAAGTTTAATGTCATAATACATGTAGTCATCCATAAATTTTGATGTTTGGATTCTATGAAATTTTTGAAACATATTTTGTTATTAAAAAGACACTATCAGCATCTGTTGTTTATAATGGTCCTCTGAAAGCCTTCCATATAGGTTTTATTTTATCTTTTGCATTTGATGCATCTGCATATTTCTCTTTTGAATGTAGTTGAAATTAGTGTTACTATTTTTATTTCCTTATTTGTTTGACAAAAAAAGGAAATATTATGACTAAATATAGCAACCATGGGTTTTAACTTCCCATTGTGGGAGCAGGCAAGTGGGGCTTTTTTCAAACAAACAGGAACAGTGAATGCATTTCTGGTTCTGCCTAACTGTTTATATAGACAGCTTCAAGATTTTCTGCTTCTGCTGAAGTATTTGACAGCTTGATAACAAAATGCATATAATAATACAAATAACAGCCTGTGTTGCTGGTGTGTTTGGTTTGTTGGGTTTGTTTTTTTTTTTTGCATTCCCATTTTGATTAAAGTTGTAACTAATTCTCTTTCAGGGTACATCTGTACAGCTGTCAGAAGTGTCGCTCAGGCAGAGGTAGCTGAGCTAGCTTTAAATGAACTATCAGGAAACTATCTAGCTGTGACAGCAGAGTTTAGTCCAGTCTTATTTTCCTAATGGAGCAAGGGCAGGAGGATCTTGGGTTCCTTACAATTCAGGTATTTACTGTAATTTAAGAGAGCTGGTAAGCTATTTCTGTCTACATGTATTTTTGAAAGTCATGATTTTGCAAAGCATGATGTTGTATTGTAAAACAAATGCAAATAAGTAACATCTTCAGCCTCTGCAGAGAGCTCATCACAAAGGACAAGCTTATTTTCCTTCAGAAACGCTGGTGTTAATTTCCATTGTTGTGGTTTCAAGATGCTGCCACTCTGGAAAGGCCCTCACCAAAACTGCAGATAGTGGGGCATTTTTTTCTAGCCAGGGATGAGTTGCTTGGGTTTGGGGTTTTGAGAGAGTTCTTCCCCACCCCCCCAAACACAGCATTTTTTTTCAATTTGCTATTTAACTATATCACTATTCTGCTAACATTTTCTGCTTCATGGTGATTTGTGAATGTTGGCCAAGAGATTCAAGGAAGATCTTATTCTTTTGTTTTAGAATATCTGATTTGGTATTTTGCTTTGATGCTGTTGACAAGGGATGCCCAAAGAGTTTGGAGTAATGTTTTGAACAGCCAGAAGCATATTATACATTCAGAACAGCTAAAAATTCTTTGAAGGAAAATAAAACAGCAACAAATAATTCTCTATTAATAGTCTGTATTTCAGTAGATTAAGTCTGTTGCTGGGAGTATTGGAAGGATCGGTTTGGGTTTTTTTTCCCAACACATGCAGATAGTGTTACCAGAATTAACTCACCTTGGATTACCTCAGTCAGTCACTACAGTTAACAGTAAAATGAATAGCAAATTATTTGACATCAGTGAACACATACGTAAAGTAATTTCTCATTGAATTTTCAACAGTGCCTAAAGACAGCAATCAAAAGACAAAACAGTATTCAATCAAAATAATTATAATCATTGGGGGGGGCGGGGTGTAGGTTCTACCCCGCAAGAAACTTCCCACAAATATGTGATTGTTCAAATGATTTGTGGACTTTCACTACTTTTTAAGTTACAGAAACATTGATTCTTTTAAAAAATAATTCTCTAAATCGCATGCTTTCTCTGCCATAGTTCCTCGTCAGTCATTTGGAACAGTATTTAATATTTTCTGATACCTGTACTTGTAGTGGCCGGTGGTGCCACATATCCATCCTTATCATGAGCAGTAACAAAGATAGGTGAGGGATGTAATCTCATTAGATACGCTAGGTGATGAAACGGTGAAATGGGAAGCATTCACCTTGCCACGCAAACTGTCAGATTTTGATGTATGGACTACAGAGCTTTATCAGCAGTACTGAGTTACAACAGCTTGAATATCCCATGAGTTTAAACTGCAAACTTTAGTTGGTTAAAGAATATGTTTCTAATGCTAGAGACCCTTAAATGTGTTGAAAGAGATTATAGGTGACTGAGTGCAAGGCCCCCGAAGTTATTTCTAAATACATTTTTGTAATCTTACATAGTTTATATGTTGTTATAATACAACACTGCATACTGAGACTTTAGCAAATTTTCCCAGAAGTTGTACTTGCTGTTTGTCATTCAGAGAACAAGATGAGCCTTAGCATCAGCATGTTAAGTGTGCTGCACCTGATAATATGATGTGGCTTAGAAAGTTTCGTACTGTAGTAAGCCAGGTACATACTGGAGGTGGGAGAAAATTCCTTTTGGACAAGCTTCTTCTGGCATGATGGATGTTGCCTGATACTTTTCAAGAAGCAGTGAGGAATTAGTTTTTGGTAATATTCTTGGGAGTTCAGGTTAAAAGTTGCTTGCCAGAATGTTCAACTTTTTGCTTGCTAACCTGTTCCTTACCACACAAGATGTAAGCAGTGGGAGGAGAAGAAAGACTTTTGATGCACCTGTATTTACAGGGCTACTGCTGTGACATTGAATGGTGGATGGCTGTTGTGCATGCAGCTGAGAGTGTTACAGGAGGCTCTTTGTTCTTACTCACACCTGGCCTGGAACCACAGAGAAGAAGCTGGAAGATAGCTTGATGAGAACAAAACCACTGTGCCTTGAACTTTCTTATCCTTTTCTTTCTTATACAGTGCTAAATTCCTTATGCTATACTGATGAAGTCCATCCGGGCTAATACTTGTAAATTGTTAACGTTTTCCCTAATAAAAAAGTATGGTCAGTAAGGTATTGCCTGACTGACTGGTAATATGCCAGTTATATAATGGTGCAAAAATACATATTAAAGTATCCTGTGTATTGGACATGC